TTTCCAGTCTAATACTGAACTGCCGTTGTCAGGACTATAAGCTTCTTCATCTCTAATCTCTGGTACCTGAAAGTTCGAGAAAATATTACACTTTTTGTTGCATTTAAATTTTTAAAAAAAATCTTTCTGGAAGTGAAGGCTATATTTAAAAAATAGGCTATATTTTAAAAAGGCTATATTTAAAAAGGCTATATTTAAAAGGCTATATATTTTAAAAAGGCTATATTTAAAAAATTATTTGAAATGAAGATGGGACAAAATGGATCTGCACCACTCTTATAGTTGATTGTTGGTTATACGATTCGTATTCAAGAAAACAACATATGTGAATGGTAATCTTTAGTTTTCTAGCCCGCAAAATGTATTTGTCTAAACTCTTAATTATAGTAGCTGCAAGAGCTGAAAAGAGAAACAGAATTCTGTTTCATAGCACTTGTTTATGTAGTAAGATTTGGTTCATCTTTATTTGAAACAAAAATTATGTTCTCTGCAAAAGAGAATGGAACTACAGACCCCAGAAGCCCCGGAGCCTGTGGTGCTGTGGTGTAGGAACAGAGATCTCTGAAAGTCCTGGTAGACCTGTCTAAAAAGAAGCTGGGTCAGAAGCCAGGCAGGTTTCTGACAAGAGTCTGCCTGGTAAAGGGCCTTTCATCTGTACACTGTTGAAATGGAGCTATCTCCCCAGGATATTTCACTATTAGCAAACTGGCAATTCCCAGTGAAGAAAATACTGTCAGAATTTTTTTCTGACCCTATCTCATAGAAGCCAGCATTTGCTGCTGCAAATATCTATCCCAGAATTCAAGAGGACAACACCCACCTGCTGCAGGACAAATTGGACAAATAGAACACTTGTCAACTTCAAAGCAGTTCCCATATACCTCTAATGTTTGAGAAGTCACCTGGTAAAAGATGTTGTTGATACTAGAGATAGGCCTAAAACCTATTTTCTGCCTCCATACTTCTTAGGTATCCATGATCTTTTCTCCAAAATAATGCTTTCAGAAACAATCACTGCCCAATGCCCAGTACTCATAAAAACAACACTGTAACATCCAGTTGGTTTCCAAACGTAACAAAGCAAAAGATTTCAGTAATAAAACATTTAGCATAACAAAACAATGTGAAAAAATGGAAAATTAAATTAACTTTAAAAATAAAAAATCGCCTCATAAATAAAAACACAAAAGTCACTAAAAAAGCACTGAACAAAAAAAATTCTTGAAAATTCTATTTTAATGCTTATAACCCAGAAAAAGACAATGCAGCTTCTTCTGACCTAGGTACAAAGATTGACTTCACTTTACAAAAAGAGGCTAATTTTGCTGCCAACCAAAGGTCTCAGAAATACAATAAGTCTGAAGCTTACATCTGTATCAGAAGCGTCACCACCAAAGCCTTCCTGTGTGCATTGTGACCTTTGAAAATTTCTTTGATGCCTGTATTCCACTTCTGAATCATACTCATTTGAGTCTCTCAAGGTAGACAAACCACTGTCAAACCAGCTCTCAGGTAAGCTGTCAACCTCACAGTTTATCCTCTGCATAGGGTCACAAAGGGCTAAAGAATCATAATCCTCATCCACGTAGGAAGAATGAGATGATCTGATGACAAAAATAGGGAAGACATGCATTATTTTGAGATGACATTCCCTAGCAAAACAAAGACATGTTGGAATGGTGAACATGACAAATGTCAACTACACATTAAAACAGATTCCACTGTCCACTATTTTTTAATTTCCAGTCAAAAGATATCTGATAGCATGTAAAAATTGTCACCATAATGCCTATACATTCTGGGTCTGGTACATCACTTTAGTCATAATTAAAAAAATAGATCTTTAAAAAACTCCTTAAACATTACAACATGGAAAATATTAAAGGGAGAAAACATCTATACAGTACCGATGGTTTAATGAATGTTAGCCCCTTCCTTGATGTAGAAAATAACTTCCGTATACTTGTATCTGATGTAAATAGATATATCTAGGCTTTATCTCCCAGATGTGTGCAAATCAATAAATAACAATTATGAATACAAAAAAAAAAAGCAGGACAGCAGAGATCACAAGCTCAGAAACAGGAGGAGTAGAAATGAGAAAAACTTGTTTGATTACAATGAAATGGCCTTTATAGAACACTGTAGTTTTAGGAAAGTACATGCTTGACAGTTTTTCTCCGTTCCGAAGCCGTTTTTGTTTTTGGTGCCATAGGCGAAAACAGCATGTTTAACCAAATGCCAGTGGCAGCAGTGTTACACTATCAGAGAGGCACTTACTGTATGTACATTTAAAATTAATTTGCACAACAAGGGAACAGGAAAAGAGAGATGGAGAGGGAGAAGGAGACAATCTAAAAATAAGGTGTTATGGTCTGTAGCTTCTATCCTTCCCCTCTATAGCAAGGAACTAACTGGCACAAATCAAACTACCTGAAAATGCCTGAAAGTAGTGTCAAGTCAGTCCCAAGATGCGACTATTGGCGTATCTCAGCTACCATAACAACCCTCCTCCACTCTGTGTGAAGTTAGATGAGTTACTTTGCATCACAGGTGATTCTTCAGGCAAAGTGACCTGGTGGCACCCACCCTCTGTCCAGGTACAGATGGCCACTGACTCTCAGAGAACTCACCCACCCTTTGACAGGTCTTTTTTTCCTGCTGGGTGTCCACACACCCTCCTCACCTGGGTTAGTCAGGTGGGGACTCCAATTTAGTTGCCGACAATCCAACCATGGAACAGGCTGTACTGGTCTACATGGTACCAGACAGCAGACCGAGAGGCCTGGCCTGACAATATGGAAGTAGTAAAGCAAGAAAAGCAGTCAACCTTGCTTTATCCTATGAGAGTAGAGATGGAGCACAGTCTGGTTATAGTTGACAAACAATGGCAGCACTGTTCTTTGTGAACTTGTATTAGCAGTGGACCTGAGCACTCCAAACACCGTTCAGAATAGCAAGGTAGCTTCTGTGGGCCTGGAGTGTCTATTCCTTGGGATTTGTGGGGTTTTGAGACTATTGTGAACTCTAATATAACTTCCATCCACTGCTGGCCAACCAACAATGTTATAGAAAGTATTTTTTTGTTGCAACAATATTCAAAATTTTCTATTTCCATGCTTCCAAGGTAACGAGCGTTCATATAAATGAACACAATCTTAGTTTTGGAATAGAACAGTACTCAAGCTATTTATATTCATACACTCTCTAGCCTACAGCAAATAACTGACATATGAAAAAAGGGAGAATACTGTAATAAAGTTAAGATGATTGGGCATACCCTGAAATAAAAGACTATATTAGTCAATTTTCAAAGTCATTGAAGCATGGATTCAGTGCTGGGAATTCCACGCATTTTTAAGGCAATTTAGCCTATGAAGTGCTACACTGATAGAAAATAAAGAATGCAATTACGTATATAAATTTAATATACATTTAAAACCAAGGTTAGAATCTAAACTAGGATTTCTGATTATTCAACTGGCTAACAAAGTCCCGAAGTAAAACTGAAAGTTCATTTTGATCTTTCTCTCTTTGTACCTGGATACTGCTAATTTATACCTAGTAGCAGGGGTGGATATAGGACTTTGAAAAGCGGGGCAAAGAGGGGGGGAAAGAGGGTGAGACTGGTGTGGTGATAACACATTTTTCTTCAGGTAAAAAGAAACTAGAAGCTGTACTAATATGCTAGGAGCCTCAGCTATATTGTTCAGTTTGAGATTGAAGCAAAAACAAATATAACTATTACAATGTGCACTAATTTGCTATATCAGACATTAAGTGTTAAAAAAACCCACAACTACCTAGGCAAAAATAAATCAAAAGATTTTGTTTCTTTAGTCCTGTAATCAGTAGAATTAAATGTACATTTCTTTTACAGTAATCTAAAAGACAAAAACAATATCTAGCTGTCTTGAGCTCCTTGGCAGTGCATCCAACGTTTCACTGAAAGTTATTTCCAGAACAGACTTTAAAAGTTTACCTATGTTAAATGTTTCCACACCTGTGTTAGTGTTTTTAGTTAGACTTAAAAACAGTCTGCAATAGGAACTCCATACCAGTAGCAACTAACAGGCAGAAAAATTGCAGAAGAAAGAAGAACCTGATTAGTGGAACATTGGGCACCTATGCATGAGCGGCGAAGCTGCCCCAACATGCTGTAATTACAGCGTGTTGGAGAAGACCCAATTAATCAAGCCTGCAGGAGCTTGGTAATGACTGCACTCCAGCAGAATCAGTGTATCAGCATCCCCATGCTGAAAAACAGCAGCAGGGTTACTTTAACTAAAGCTCGTCTAATTGTTTTAGCTAAAGCTCGAGCTTTAGTTAAAGTGTCCCCACCACCATTTTTCAGCGCAGGGACACTGATATATGAGATGCTCCAGGCGCATTTATTAAAGCGCCTCTCGGATCCATGCTAATTAAAGCACCCCGTCTCCATCCACTCCCAGAGAATGTGTATAAATGCCCATTAAGACCATTTTAAAAAAAGACAGTGTGTCATTAACACCTGTGGAATGAAGAGTTTAGAAGGAATCGGGTAGGTTATAGTGAGGCATGTAGTCAAATAACTCCCTCACTGCTGCCATTGCCAGGCAGTTTGTTTTAAACTTGTGGTGAAGCAGGAATCAAAGAGGGGTATGACTGAAGCACTGTACTCTCTAGTCCTGCCTGGTAGAAATAAGCTTTATCCTGGCACACACATTTACTTCTGGAGGCCCATTTTTCTACTTCAAATATAATGCACTAGATGGGACAGAATAAAAGATATTAGAAAATATCTTCTCAGAGAAAGATGTCCTTATGAGTCTTAAAATAGACTTAATTCCTTCCTCCCCTAAACTCAGCAAATCTAATGTTCAGATGAGTTATATTGCAAAATCTACAGTACCTGTTGCAAAATCTACAGCAAGTCCAATGTGAAAGAATATGTTGCATCTGCTTTCAGCATAGGAAGGTTTGCCTTACCAAGACACAGCAAAAACAATAATGATACTGAATAGATTTATATTTTATGGATTCATTTTGGTAAAAGCTTGTTTCACTTGAGAATGACAACTGAATTTGCTCAATTTATTTTGTCAGCGTTGTTAGCATAACACAGGGTTTTTATTCTATTATTTTGCATTAGTTGTTTAGCTCTCCTTAGACGCATGCAATAATAGTCCAACATTTTTTGAAGTTATAATCTGGGTAAAAACAAGATGGCCTACCTGTCATACTGTGGATTCTGTGGAGACTGGCCACCATTACATTTGGGACTGCTTCTAGAAATCGTACCCCCTGGGGAGGTGTTTGCAAACCGCTGAAATAAAACAAATGTAGAAAGATCTGTAAGAAACTGTTTTCTTATGCAACCTTGGGGAAAGGGGTTTGTTAAATAGGGGAATATAATCCTTATAAGACTGCTGTATGTTAATTATGCATATGCTACTTTTTCTTTTCAAATAAATGTCATCCTTTAAAACAAAACTGGGTATCAACAGGGACATTAAGCACAATATTTAAACTCTTCCACATGGGTCAAGGTTTGGATTTGTTGCTCCTCATTCACCAGCAATAAAATAATGAGATTTTTTTGTGCACATAGGAGCTGGTGACTATGACAGTGCCGCCTGCCTAAGTGGCATTATCCCATGAACTATAACACACTGTTTTAGAAAAGTAGTTCAAGGAATGGCAAAATATTTCTCTCATCATTTTGGAATAAGCATTTCTTAGAGCATGAAGATGGTTGAGGTGAGAAAGGAAATGGTCAATATCATTTAAATACTCTCAAGTTATAAATTTCCATGTATAAATGTAAGGAGAATTTTTCATAACAAAGTTTAATCACTCAATATCTGTGCTACTACAAATGTTCATTTTGCCAGCCAGCACATGGCTTTGACGGAATCGAGTATACAAGCTTCCCTTGCTTTATGCAGGTTCTGTATGTGTGAATTTGCTCTTATGCAACGACCCTTTTTATACCAGAAACTCATTACATGCAAAGTAAATTCACTATTATGCAATCGGTGTGGTGGAAGCCCACAGTCGGTTGCTTTGTGTGGTGGATTGTGGGAGTGACGTGAACCAAAATACAGGCTCTTGTGTGGATCTGCGTTCCTCACTTGTTTTCTGCGACACATGTTTCTCTAGTTGCCATCCCTATTATGATAGTGCCCTGTGCTTGTTTGTACTGTCTGCTGTTGACGAGTACCAAAATTGCCTTGTAAAAGTGGTAGAAATGGGTCTGGGGATCAGTACAGTTGAAGTCTTGGAACGTATCCCTATTTGTTACATTGCAAAGTGGGTTCCCTTTATGCAAATTTGAGTTGTGTGTCATTTTCCAAGAATTCATGTACAGGATAAAGCAAGGGAAACCTGTCGTGGAGACACCAGCTGGTACCAGGGAAAGATATCCAAACTGGGAGCAGGTGAGAGTCTTTCATACACACCTTGTTTTCTTTCCTTTCTTCTCCCCTCCTCCTGGCTTTCATTGTGTTGGGGCTGTTGCTCTGCTCTTCTTTAATACCCATCCCCCTTTCTTTATGCTACAAGGCATCTGTGGAGTATATTGAATTTGGGCAAAGACCCTAGCATCCAGTACTTTATACTGTTACTGCAATTAGATGGAGCTGGGACTGGGACCAAGTGATAGGCTTTTATCTAGCCCTGAAGGGAAGAGCATGTCAATATGACTATCCTGCTCAGGCAGCAAACAATTGTGTATGCCTTAATTTGACTGCAATCTTCCCACCCCTCTGATCATGCCAAGGACTAGGCTGATTACCAACTTTGGCATCTGAACGGATTTTCTTTTTCCAATCTAGCAAAAGTGACAAACCCCGGGGGGGGGGGGGGTGTCCCTTCCCTCCTGTATACACACATTTAACTTTACTATTGCTACAACTTTGGCAATTGCAGTGCATCTGGTATCTTAGAGAAGATCCGACAGAGGTCCTTGTAACTACATGGGCTGTCTGTACAAAGCAATAAAGCCTCAAGGCTCAGCCTAATATTTCAATTTTCCTTGCATTTCAGTGAAATACTGTGAGAGTCCTAAACATTTTCAATAAAGAGAAATGGGAAAACTACCATTCATGTTGTGGGAAATCTTTGGCGATTTGTTTTGGACAAAAGAGTATCAGAAAGTTCCAATGTGAATATATTAATTTTAGGACAAAGGAAACTTAAGATTCTTTTCAAATTTTGGTTTATACAATATATACACATTTGGGATATACAGAAAAGAAAAGGCCATGTCAGAAGGCACTGAGCCAAAATCTATTGTCAGCTGAAGCCACTGGAGGTTTCTGAAGTTACACAAGGATTATATGATTTCTATAATATTATTATATAATTATTCTTTAACAATCCATTACATAATTTCTGTAACATTAGAAAATTATACCACATACCAGTGCTCTGTTGTGCTTGCTGAAACTGTTTTCTAGTGCACTCCTTAAGCCATCATTGCTGTCATGTAATTTTCTGTTAGCTAATCTAAAAATCAAACAGGGAAAAGTGGTCTTCATACAAAACTGTAATAGGATAAGTTAAAGAAAATTCTAGATGGTTTTGCCAGTTCTATTTTGTCATATCCAGCTTCCATATAATGGAATCATAATGTTTTTTGTTTTTTTTTAAAAAGAAACTAAAACAAAGAACTAGCAGTAGTCTAGAAGTTGTTATTGTACACAGGCAAATGAATCTGCACCATGTAAATGAAAGTGACCATTTTTCTGTAGCCCCAGCATTTCCATGGGGCCACAGTGTGGGATTTTATTAAGCTGCTTTTATGGTCCCTTACTTTAATAGGAAGAAACACTTGTACATTCCCTAGTTTTGACCCTTGACCCTTCTCTAATTTGTCTACAGTACTACACATATGCAAGTTGGGCATGTATTAAATAACATGATAAATTAAGGAAGAGTTAGAGTCTTCTATTTTACTAGGTATCTTTATATCATGTTTTACCCATTTCCATGTATGACAACTAGTTGGGTTTTTTAAGTGAAATTTTTGTACAGAGCTCTTAACAGAAGAGAACTCCTGTAGTGTAGACCTTAGAAGAGAGGTGGAAAATTATTTTGGCTGGAGGGCTGCTTAACGAGTTTTGGTGAGCTATCAACAGCTGCAAGGGTGGCCCCACCCCTTAACAGGCACCTTGCCCCCTGGTCACCATTTTAGGACCTGAAATTCTGCCCCTTAACCCTTGACCTTTGCCACTAGAAGCACTCCTTTTGGGAAGGGGTTTTGCCATGGTGGAACCAGAAAAAAAAGTTATATACTAAAAAATCAAAAATCCACAGTAATATATTTTAATTTTATTTTTTTAAATATTTTAGTCTTGATATGTGTTTGCACCATGTATATAGAGGTGATTGCATAATAACTCAAAATGAAGTCTTATTCTTGTATATTGCGAGGGGGTACAGGGTGTGGGAAGGCACTGGTGGGTGAGTATAGGATTTGTGTGCAGGGGTGAGATGTAGGGGGTGTGAGTGTATGTGTGTATATGTGTGTGTAAGTGGGGTGTCAGGGAGGGTGTGGATATAGTTTTCCTAGACTTCAGGAAGGCTTTTGATACTGTCTCTCACCCCATTCTCATTAGG